ACTTTGCTGATTTGCAATCTTTTTCTTTCGAAATAGTATAACAATTTATATTCAAAAATTTATTTAAAAAAATTTATTCTTATTTGAAGTCAACCTACGTAATCTTTAATTACTGGAGAACTTTTTTTTTGTTTAACTTTTTTTGGGGTCAGACGCATTCAGCGTTATCTCTTGGTTGGTTACGGTTTTTCAAAGAAGGGAAAAGCATGTTCATTTTGCGCACAAAGTCGCCGGTAAAAACATAATTTAGAACCAAAATTAGTGACGTTGATAATTTTTCCAGTTTCTTATCTTTCCTTAATTTTGTCTTCGCATGCTTGACATGTCACTCTTTGATTATGCTTTCTCGCTACCGTATTACGCATACTGAAGTTTCTGAGTCATAGTTATTTTTAGTTTTGGAAATTCGCTGTTATTAATCATTACGGTGAGGCATAGTTACGTGTTTGTCAGTTGAACCTGTTACTCAAAAGTTCTGTACGTTAAAAATTATTTTTCTGATACTTTGGTAGCTTGGTCCGGCTTCGGTCTAGTAAGCATGGTTCAAAAAAACCGAAATTTGGTGTGGAATTTGGTTTTTATTTTAATAAATGTTGGGCTTTCCAACTATATTTTTGATACCTACATTTAACCATTAGTTTGGGAGGTATTCTTGCTTTACAAGTGAATTTTTTTATCTTACAATTTTAAACTGATCTTTTATTGAAAGACTTCGAAGTAGGTGAAGCGGAGTTTATTGATGCAAAAGCAATAAATATGAGGCTTTTAAGACTACTTAATTTAGTTGGTAGTTTGTAGGAATAGTTTGTCAAAGTTTTATTGAACAACGTTTCTATGAAAATTTGCTATGTAGTCTTTTGCTGCTTTTAGAGATGATATGCGGTAGGTTTGGAATTTGCAAAGGTTGTTTCGTCCTTCTTTCGTTAAGTTTTGAGCTTAAAAGGTTTTACATTTTCTAAAGTTTTCGGTAAAAGGGATGTTTTAGTCGTGCTTAATAGATACTTTAGTAAGGATATTTTCTTGATACTGGTAGTTTAGCTACTACTGCTGATTTCTTTTCCCGATATTATATATAAGGTGTCTCAGAACCGGTAAATCTAAAGTGATTCTGCACATAAATATTGCAAGAAAGAGGGGATTGGCGGCGTCAGAGACTATATCAAGTTTTTTAAAAAAATTTGAACATTATAATGAAGTTACTTCCAGGATATTGGAATAGACGTGGTGTCCTAGCTGAACTGCTTTCAATAAGAAATTTTGTTTTTTTGCTCGGGATGGCAACTACTCAGGTAGACAAATTTATTTTCAATATTTTCAGCGGTGAAAGACTTGTCCTGTTAATTGTTATTGATTTATTAACGCATGCAACTAATAATAGTGTTGTTTTTAGTAATATAGTGGAGGAAATAAATCAGTGTTAAAGAGTGAAAGGAAGCTGGGGAAATAAAAGTTTTAGTGAATGTATTCCTCACTGTTGCCAGTCCTGGTTTCTCATGCTCTCGTTAAAAAGTTTTGAAGAACATCTATTTTTAGCCGGACGTGGCGCAAGGGAATGTTATGAAAATGGTGAATCGGTTGAGTAGGGACTGTTCAAAAGAAATTACATTTAGGAAACCCGGTAAGTATTTCATTTTTGAGTCAGGACTTTCTGTGGTTATTAATGTAAACAAATAATTTTTGATATCTTGTCAGTTATTTGCTCGATTTGTTTTTTCACTGATTTTCTCCGGTCTGAGCAGATGATTCATTGTAAGCTCTTGTGGGTTTTCTATCTCACTAATTATTTTCATTTCATAGGGTTTCGGTTCTTATTTCGTTACGTAATTGTTACGTTTAGACTTTAAAGACAGTGATTTTTTTTGATTTTTTTTTATTTCAAAAATATCTGAGGGAATTAAAAGTAGTTTCATTATTCCGATTGACGTACACATGGACATATTAAAGCAGCATACATCCATCGTTTTGTAGTTAAGCAGGCAGTAGAAAAAAAATTAAATTTGTTTTTCTAACATTGCTTTACCTAATTTTGCAGCGGAAAACTTAGGACGGAAAAATCTTATAGGGTTACTAAATGAGCGTGAAATGGATATTCAGACTGGTTATTCAAACTTTCACGGAAGCTAAGCAATAAATACAATTGATGTCGCAATAGCCACCAGCAGTGGCTGCAAGAGTGTAAAGAAAACTTGTTTTTTCTTTGCTAATTAGACTTTAAAATATCTTGACTGTTTTTTAGAACTATTTGAGACATTCATTTATACTTAGTTAAAATTACAAAGTTAAAATGACAGAGGCATTGGAAAGAAGATTAGTTTGTGAGGCTAACACATTCTTTGTAGAGAATTTTGGTAAATTTTGTTTGACGAATTGCAGTAAATTTTATAAAAAGTCGGCAGAAGTTAAAAAGGGTGGTGTATAGGGAAGGGTTTTGCAAGGACTTTTTATCTATGTGATGGTTATATCTTCCACTGCTATTTGAGCAATGACACTTGTATATCCAAAAGAGTTTCGCGTTAGTGCATAACCTCTGAAGATTGTTGAAGTCACCTAAGTAGATGGAGTGTGTTTTTGATTAGGTTTTCGTTTTTGAGACCTTTAAGATTTTTCAAAGATTTGGTTGACAGTGAATGTGACTGTAGCCGTATATGATTATATTTTTATTGTTTGTCGGACTGAAGTCAATAAATGTAGATGGTCGTTGCCTTCGATCGGTCTTAGATTAATGGGATCTGACGAATCTGACGGACCTCTAATTACTAGCACTGTGAATATTTTTGGTGGGGCTTATACGTTTTTGCTGAACTTTGGTTTAGGATTCTTCTCTTAAAAAAGTCTTTAATTTTTTTCAATATGGTAAGAGGAGGTTTTTGACATCTGTCTGTGCAGCAACTCCTTTTGTTAAAAGTTTTTGACGGTTGGATTTTCCAGACTTTCTGCTTTTGACTGATCAGTTTTTACCACTGGTTACTTTTGAAGTCTATTCATTATTCTAAACTGTTTCAATGGGCTGAAAATTTCTGTTCCTTTTTTGGATCCTTGCTGGGAGCTAATGTTTCATTTACTGAAGTTAAGGCGTAAAATGCAGGACAATCAAAATAACTAATTTTTTGAAAGGAAGGCATTATTTTTGTAGCTCCAATTTTAGCTATGACTTGAATGTCATGGCGGGCTGCTTTTGGAAGGTAAATTTGAATAGCGTTTGTTTAGCTCTCAACATTTTTTTTCAGAGTTTTATCTTTTCTAAGTGACCAAAATATATAATGATATCAGTTTCTTTGTTGTCATTGGAAGTCTCCAGCTTTTTTAAATTTTTTTTAGCTTTGTTTTTTTATGTGTAAATTCTTTTTGAACTCTTTGAGTTTAATTATAGAAACGAGCAGATTTTTGCCTTTGTTAAACTATTTTTGTTTTATTTGCAGTCTTCAGCACTTTAAAACAGGGGGTAAATTAGTTTTTTTCATAGCTTGAAGGACTGTTGTAAAATGAACAGGCAGTTTGATTTGTGGCTGAAAAAGTTTGGTGCTAACTTGTTTTACACGTGCAGCATTATCACACTGTAAGATTCCAGGTCATGCCAGCTTGACTAAAGTTGCTGTTGTTCGATTCTCTTACGAAGCAGTACATGACGATGAATTGACATTAAAAGTTGATGATGTTATTGAAGTAATGGAAGATGCAGAAGAAGGATGGATGAAAGGAAAGTTGAGAAGTACTGGGGAAGTTGGGCTGTTCCCTACTAATTTCGTTCATTTTTCCAGTAAGCTGTCCACTACTCAATTTTTATTTCTCTGAGGCTTGTTTTGCAAATCAAACTAAGTAGAACCTTAGTAGTTGGACTTACTTCTGCGTATAAAGTAGCTTGGGAATCAGCAAGAAGTTTGATTTTTTCAAAGTCATTTCGATTGAGCAGACGCACCGTACAGTTGTGACTTAAAACGGAATTGTCTAACTGTAGAGGAAGGATTTGTATAATAGATTTACATAGTCTTTCAAACGAAATATTAACAAGGTTATTTATTGTATGCTTTAATATTATTTTCTATATCCTGGTCATTTTGCTGGATTATTTTAAGCCCATGCAGAAGGCCAAACAGGAAACAAGAACGGGGTCGCAAAGGCTGAATTTAGAAAAAAAGTGTTGGAACCTAATGCTGGTATTGCTTTCTTCAAATTCGTTATTAATGCCATCGAAATGCTTCATATGTTAAGTGAAGCCTTTCTCATCGTGAAGTTGTTAGCTAAGGGCAATTTTTATTTTGTGCACCAAAGTGTTATCAAAATCTTTTGGTACTCAAAGGAGTGAGCGTTTTTACAGTTTACAGTTGCAAATAAAAGGCACTAGGTTTTGGTTAATGATGTTTTATTTGAATTGATTTAATTTTGCGACTAAGTGGATTTTTGTTGAGTTGCTGTCAGTAATTAGTTGCTAAAATTCATAGTCGTTATAAATTAGTGGCGTAGTGAGAGCTATTTACTATAATGCTGTGATTTTATAAACTCAGTTCTGAGTAAGTTGCCTGTATCGTTGAATTGGCCTGTTGTTGCTCATGGAAGTGTGCTGCTTAATATGGTTTTCTACCTATTAGTTCTTAACCAGATTCTCCGGAAGTATCGCAAAGGTCTTCAGTGGCAGATGTGCAGAAAACGCGTGCGGCAGCCTCTTTCACGTTACCTGCAGCTAAGAGAACTGATGAGGGAGAGCCAAATACTTCTTCAACAAGAGGTTACTTTAACTGAATTTGCTTTTTTTTTTATTTACAAAGCTTGTCATCTTAGTAATTTATTTAAATTTATCTGTTCTACTAATATTTCAAGAAGTTTGATTACATTTAACTTTCAACTGCTACTCTAAACGGTTGTGTAAATGAAAGCAAATATGATTCCAGAAATGGCCCGTGTATTATTTAAATATGAACCAAAACACGACGATGAACTGCCATTAGAAGAGGTTGGTGCTTTGGTTACCGTTGTAAACAGGAAACCTCCTGATCGGGGTTGGTTCGTTGGTGAAATTGATGGAAAGCGGGGTCTCATACCAGACAACTTTGTCGAATTTTTGCCACTTTCTTCCGCGGAAGGCAAAAAGGTGCCAGCAGCGGTGGTATTGATTTGAACATTCTTTACGTCTGCTTTTGGTGTTTTCTAAATCCTTCTCAAAAATTTGTTTGTTTGGTGCAGCCAGAATTGTTTTAATGCGCAAAAGTTATTACAGAGTCGAGGTCTCAAGAACCAGACTATTTTTATTTTTCTTCCTTTTTTTTTAGACATCGACAGTGCCTAGTGTTCCTGCGAAACCGGCCAAACCTCCAGGACTTATTTCTTCATCAGGTAGTGGTGGAGTCCTTAAACCAGTTGGTGTCCCTTCCGCTGTTGCATCAAAACCTCCAGTCTCTACTTCGAGCAGCGCTACTGGGAGTGGTAATCGCGGCGTAAGTAGAGTCTTTGATGCTGCTTTTGCCAACACCTTGGCAGAAGCTCTCAATAAACAGCCAAAACCTTTTGGTTTAAAGGTTCGGACTCTTTGTGGTGCTTTTTTTCGATATAATTGTTGTAAAAATTAGTTTAAATGAATGTAACTCTTCCTTCAGTCAGCTAATAAATATGAAGAGGGACCAGCAGATATTCGTACCGATGGCCCCTTGGAACACATTACAACCAGCAGACCGAAGCAACCAAAGAAGCGTCCTCCTTCGTCAATCCAGAGTAAACGGGTAAGTCAAACCTTTAAAAGAGACGGGAGAATATATTTCGCGGCTTGTTAAATAAAAATCATAAATGACTAAATTTGCTGTGAGGGTGTGTCCTTTTATGGTTGCATTTTCGTCGTCGTAATCATAGGATTATAGTAGAAATTTTTTTTCTCAAGGGGTTTTTATTTTACAAATTGTTGTTTATTCTTCAATGTATGCCATTGAGTGTTGCAAAGGTTCGTTCGCACGAATTTTTTATTGTTCTTTACTCCTACTTTTTTTGTCTTGGTTTTAGAGATCTAACGATACTCCTATGGATGTTCCAATTTTTGAAGCTTCTGAATCAGAAGGAACTTCCCTCTCGAAGCGGACTACTACAATTTCACCGACTACATTTATTTCGTCGACTGCGACCAATAATGGTAAGTCTCTCTCCCTAACTACTTCATGAAAAATTTTTGCTATCCTAATTGCTTCAACCTGAGTATGTTGGTTTTGCAGCTCATTTGACAACTCCGCAGCCAGCAACATCAATCAAAGCCGAAAAAAGGGATAATGAATATGTTCCTTATGCTGAATTTAAACGGCTTTCTGATCAGTTCCAAGAATTTCGGAACGAAATGTTGTCTAAACTTGCTCAATTGGAGGCAAAACTCGGGTTAACGAAATGAAGCCCTCAGTTTAATTTTTTCAGATGATGTCATTGTTGGATCATAGTCCTTCAGTTTAAGCTACTTTTATAGAGCAACTGTTTGATTAAAAAAAAAACAATTATGCAGCTTTGTTGCTGTAGTGAATATTTAGCCTCCATTTATCTCATGAATTTAATCCTCTCTGTTTGTTAAGAATTCATGAGTTGTTGGTTTCAAATTTACTCACCTTTAGGTGCAATAATATCTTTGCAATTTACGAGTCAGTTATGAGCATATCTGTTTACGTAATACGTCTTAATTTTTGTCTGGTGATGACGGAAGTCATTTTGCAATGAACTGTTTGGAAGTAGGAAATTTTTTCATTACCTATTATAGTGTCTCGTTCCTCCTAGGAAACTTGCACGGTAAAAATATTTCTTTTAAAAAGTGTGTTTTATCAAATTATATGAATTCATTCGACAGATTTTCTTCTTTGTTTTTTTGGGATGTTTGTGGAATTCAAATATTATTATAATATAAAGAGGGATTGTTTTTAATAACATTAAGTTTTTGAAACTGCTTGATGCCTTTTTTTCCGACATTTCGTTCAAATTTTATATTATTTCTCAAGTCATTTCGGAATTTTTTTTAATGTTTGTTAATTATGTGAGGTTGTGCTGATTTTTCACATGCTTTCATTTGAAGAAAGAAAAAAAATTTTATATAGTTGCTTTCATCGTAATATGTTGGTATTTTAATATTTGTCTACAGTGTAACTTTGGTACTCATTTTATGACATTGTACATAACCTTCTCAGCCTATACTTCATCATCACCTTCGTGAAACTGCTTTGAAAGGTGCCGCTTACTTTTTCGTTTTATTTGCATTTTCTATCTCTACACTTTTGTAATAAGTGCTGCTAGTCTCAATTTAAGGAATTGTCTAATGCTGATCTGTGGTTTATAAAATGTGTTTGTTAAATTTTAATAACTAATAATGGTAATAATATTGTTAATGATAATAGTAATATTAGCACTATTCTGCTTTTCGATTGATTTCGAGTCTTTTTGAAGTGAAGAAATTGTGATCCCACTCTGGTTCATTATTATCAGTTTCTAATCCCCCTACATTGTGTCATTTGGTCATCAGAGCCAAGCAGATATTCTTTTTTACTTCTGCAACGTATTGTGATGTTTTAAGTAACACGCTTTACTAATTCATTTTGTAGTATAAAAAGATTTTTGTTTCTTTTATTTCGGCCCACATCGGAATTGTCCATTTTTCTGATACATATTTACCGTGCAAATCTCTTTCCTCGACTACCACATTTTGAGTTTTTCATTCTTCTTTTCGGCCACCCATTGCATGAGAACCAGGCATAACTGTTGCGTGCGTGTAAGATGTCCACCAAATTTCAGTTTGAATTTCGCAGATATTTCAAAGTAAGGGTGCAGCTACTGGGGTAGGAGTGTTTGGTGCTTGTTATTGTCCCTGAACTTGCTGTCGATTCGTCCATACCAGTGGTTTACTAGAGGGGTTGTGTGATAGGTTGCCAACTACCAATATTTGTGAGTGCTGGTACCTGGTTGATTTGTGTGATCACTACTGCTTTACCGATGGATTTATGCGTGAGTTAAATGGTTGTTGATTATTGTGGGCGTTGTTCCAACCTTATGACGTTCTTGAAGTTGGGATCTACCGAAATCAAACGAAAGATGTGAACAGAGGAAATTACGACTTTGATAGTTTGTTGTGGTCGTGGGGGAGGGTAAATGACTTCTTTTTTGAATTCGTATTGAGCGGTCGAAAGAGATGTAGTTTATTGAGGACTAGATTTTATTGGCAATTCTTCTTTTGTGTTGTGGACGTTTCAGCAACGAGAAATTTTTTTTCTTCACTGTTTTTTATAAGACAGCAACTATTCAGGTGCACATTCCTAGATTTAATGTTTTTGCATTTGCGCTATGCTTCTGTAATTATGTCAGGAGTGAACAAACAATAAACGGCCAACTAGGCTGAAGTCATGAAGAGAGCATTCTAAATTATTGTTCTTTGCGTCTTTGATACTGTTTAATTATGTTGCAGTGACGTTTCTACTTTTTTTTTTTTTTTTCAGAGCCACAGGCAAACCGAGTGA